GGGGGGGGGGGGGGGGGTCGGCGAAAACAAAAGACGATAGCCGGCGTCTGTCAAGTCGCATTAAGTCCGTCTCTCGCACCGTCTTCTTGAGCCATACCTATGCACTCTCCTTTCCATAGTCAAGTCCGTACGCGCTCCTGATCTCGCCATCCCCTTAACCGCTACCATCCGCGGAGCAAGAAGAAGTCAAGGTAAGCGATGGTCGGCTTTCCGGCTTGGGTAGAGAGGATTAATTATATATGTAGCCGACACGGGATCTCTTGGAGTAAGAGAACAAAAGAAAGGAGAAGAAAAGAATAGAAAAAAAAAGAGAACAATAAACGTGAGTCAGAAAATGGAAACTGACGTAGGAAAATGTTAATTTCCTGAAGGAGCAAATAAAACGTGTAGGGGATGAAAAGTGAGTAGTGAATTTTATAGCCCGCATGAAAAAATAGAAAGGCCTACTGCTTACAGTAGCACTGGGTCGTCCCGTAGAGACGGTAACTTTGAATAACAAATCCATGACAGCGTGTAGAAATTTGTGAATGCGGGTTCCGCGCCTGCTGGTTGGTACTTGGAGTCTTCAAGGACGAATCTCCTGTTGGTATCTCGTCCTACGCCCTCTTCTCATCCTACTCGTACGAGAAGAAGACTCGTAGCACGGTAGCGCGGCCTCGTGGTTTAAATCATATTAAGGTAAGTCCGTGAATAAGCGGGATTATAGAGCCTGATTCAAAGTTGACCGTCCGACCTAACTCTGAGTTCTTGGAGGCACTAATACCGTGACTTGTGCTAAGGACGGATGGCACAATCCTATGAGGATTATAGGAATCGTTTAAGAGTGTACAGTAAAGTCAAAAGGTAGTGACACTACGTAGCCCGTATTTTCAAAAGTCCTGCTACTTCTCAGCACAGCTGTCAGTGGTCAATCATGTGCAAGTACATTTTCGATAAATGGACTTGAAACAAGAAAGGCACTCTGGCACTAAGTATAAGAAACTAACAGTGACCTGTATATGTACAAGCTACGCCTTCTTTTGAAACAACCTGTACTTGACGAGGGACGACGAGAGACGGCCCGAGAGAGCACTCAAGTACGATAAAATAAAATCTCTCTATAAAAACCCTTTTCCCTTCAGGTGCCAGGAGTACTTTGATGAATATTGATGCAAAAAGCGTGTCGCTGTTTCAACGTCCACGGCCCGTGAAGGACTCAAAACCGCATGGTCGTTCCACGATGTTAAATCCGGTATGGATGATTTTAAAAATTGCCCCCAAAAAATGCCAGGGCTAACCCATAAACTGGGCGCTGCACGTTATATAGAACTGAAAGTGTTTCCTCTTTTACTTGAGCTACCTGAAACAAAAAAAAAAGATAAAGTTAACACAACCCAGTGAAATCCCTATCCTTTCCTTTCTAGTAGTTAGCTCCTTTCCTTTTTTTTTTTTATCTACTTTCCAAAGAAACTCGAGCACCCATAAGATAGGCAGAGGTGTAGGTACGTCGTGTGGCAGGTAGTTAAGTGGTCCTTTGGTCGTGATGCTGAAGTGAAAAAAGAAAAATATAGGGACGGAGAAAGAGAGGGGAACAAGTGTGAGGCTACCTAGGGTTGGAAAAAACATGAGGTCACTGCACTCCGAAGGAGTATCTGTAACCATCTGTGCTCACTTAAGCTTTAGATAGAGACCCTCTATAGTAAGAGGTACTGAGGAACTTACCAGGCTTGGTCCACTCCCAGTCTTACAAGACCGGTACGCGTTCCTTTGAGCGTTCTCCAATGTCTGCAGGGTGTCTAGCCAAGGGTAAAAGTAGCCCCTTGGGATACGATCTGTATCACGTTCCATCCCTATTAAGTCCCTATAAGGAACCATATATCAATAAGAACGAGTATTGTTCCAATAGGCAAGATACGTGAATAGTCATATTTACGTACCAAAATGAGGCCTGAGCCTGGGCAGTTGCAGCAAAGAGAATTCTTATACGGGGTCCCGTAGAAAGTCGACTGTGGTATTCAAAGCCTCTTGCTGGAGAAGTCCCATCTGAATAATCACGAAACCTTAAAAATATATCAAATCCTGACCATGTTAAAAATCACCACGAACACATATCTGTATATGCATGATAAAGATACGTATTAAATATGAATGTCTTTTATTATGGGGTATACCCGAGAGTCACGTAAACACCATGAACATCGTGCTCGAGGAATCACTCATGGGATCAAGACCCCCATGAAGGAATTAAGACACGCGTGACTCCCTTGAACCACTTTCAATGTGATACGGCAATAGGAGTAGGGTCCCAAAAGAAGAAAGGATGAAAGTTCTATAGAATAGAAAACACCATGGAATCACGCTTGTTCCGTATGAAAAAGTATTCATTTTTTGTTTTTCAGACACATAGCAGTCTGTTCTAACGTGATACTCATAATCATGGAGATGGTAAGTATCGTGAGTAATATCCCATTAATGTTTCCCGGTGGGCCCGCTACGGGCCCATTTTAATGGGGCCCTTCAAGGTGGAATCGAGCCTATACGATATTCCATTCGCGTTCGTGGCAGTCTAATTTAAGCTGCCCGTTTTTCGTGCGATACGCAAGGCCCAACCGTACTGGTTGGGTCCCATACGAGTTTAGTGAGGATAGTTATGGTTATGCGAGATCGGTACAGCCATAACATTATACCACGTTCAAAGTTATGGTGCCCCAGAGCCCAGCTTGTGCGATGCTCAAATCTCTCTACGTGTTTCTCGCCCATTCTCAACCTCGCTTGGGCCTTATATTGAACCCCATAACGCCTGTTGTCAATACTTGCGTCATCCTTACTGGCACCTAATACTCTTCAAGTTATATTGGCTATCTCAACTATTCGGTTACTCGTATTCGTTTGAACAGCTTAGTCCCTGACTAGATTCTGGGCCTTATCCAACGTCACCGGGTCCCAGCGATTCCTATGGATACCCATTCCCCTCGCGTGTTCCCTACTATTTGCTCCTTTTTTCACGGAGGCTTTGCTGACCCTGCCTGGAGCCTCGAATGGCGCAATTTGTCCGAGAAAGGGCCCTTAAAAGAAAAGGGACGGGGGCCCCTTTATCGCTTCCAAGGATCTCAGCTTTCTGCGAGTTCCAGGATCTCACTGTTACTGACCTAATTTTAATAAGACCCAAGTACTCCATATTCTTTCTCCCCATATTTTTATCCGTTCACAAAAATATTTTTCTATAAAACTTCATCAGCCTAATCTGCCCCTTATGGTCCCAGTAACCTAACGAAATGTACAATAAATTATGATTACAATAATTCAACAAGATATCTTAGTGATAACCATGCTTGGACATATGCAATCCTTGAAATAGGTGGAATTAATGGCTGATACTAGAGAGTGCGTCTAAGAAAAGAAAAAAAGATGGCCATCACGAAGGTTAAGACAAGTTCCAGAGAAATGAGACCAAGAACGAGGATGATGCCAGGCTGCATTATTTACGACTCCGACAAATAATAACGAAGGCCCTTTTCAACCACGTGTTTATGTATGTGCACAGTATATACAGTATATATCGACATATATACCGGTACCACCCATCACTGACTGTGTATAGGAGATAGGTGTGGGATGGCTCCCGAACTACGCGGACCATTCTTCCACGAGGGGCTGTACAGGCCAAGGGAAACATTTCTACGGACAAAAAATGTTCACAAGCACCATCAATGATTCTCCACCGCGTCCAAGGAATACTAAACTATTTTATTATGTGAATAAAAAAAAAATTAAAATATATAAAACCAATATTTGTCTCGCCTCTCACGATTATTGTCTCCTAGAGTCTCGAAACGACTCGTAACTACTACTAGTCCTAAATAATACGGCAATTCCACCGTCTCGCGTCTCCTTCATACATGCCTACAGTGCCCCCACCCAAAGTACCTCGTTCGCTGTCGGCTAATGATAATAACACGTCAGGTCCGTCGAGACTCACCCGAGAAAACCCGTTGCAGCCCGTTAATGCATAACATTACACTGTGAATGCTTAAAGACTATTACACTCGCATACGAGCACCTATTCAAGCATACGTTACAGCTCACTCGTACCTATATTCACGGTATAAGTGTACCTAGTAAAAAGGTACCAGGAGACAAAAGAAAAATGAGAAGTTAAAATAAGAACCCCAAAAGAAAATAAATAGTACGCGCCTGCCTGCCTGAAGAAATTATTAAAACTTATAGAAATCGCTATTAATCTTCTCTCGAAGTCCGAAGGCGATAAGAGACACAGAAAAAACCCAGCAAGCGACTAGTGTACTTTTCAGAGCTTGCACGAGGCCAAGAAAAGGAAGGCTAATGCTAAGATGAAGAAGAAAAGCGTTGAAAAAGAAAGATAAAAATCGATGCGAGTCTCAACAGAGCGGCCTATGTTTACGCACTATCGTGGATCGTACGCACAAGTTGTAAATTACCACGTGTCCAGGCGTGCTGCTCGCTTTTACTATTTCAAGATGCTGTCTCGCACTACTTCTACCAAGCATCCCCGATGCTCCAGCCATCCATAGGCCTGTGCGTACACGCATGTGTACCTCGTGTACATAACGTAAGTATATTATACGAGACCCCTCTGTACCAGGCGTGTATGAGTAAATTGCACGGTTACTGGAGTAGGTATGTAAGCCGTGTAAACTTGTTCTTAGTTACGAATATTCTCAGTGCTTCTCTTATGTCTTAATCCACAGTCCATTCCAATGATCCTGGTTCGTTCCGTGCTGATTATCCGATCCCCGTGCGAGAATCTACAAAATCAATAAGGACGTTTTATTTTTCGGACTACAGGAACCTGCTGACAATTGAAGGAGAGGAGGAAGGGAACAAGGCTTAAATTATACAGGATGCAATTACAGCTAGCGCCTCTCGCGGATTGAATTGAATTAAAATTCGCTCGTGTTCCCGCAAGTGGTCGTGTGTTGGGACACACTTCGCTCAACTGTATCCATCCAAGTTCAATGTAAAAGGAGCAACGGAAGGGACAAGGGCAGTGGTGAGGTGGGGGGACGGAGAGGAGGGAGTAAGTGAAAAGTGGATAAAAAGGAAGGACGAGCCATGTGGACGAGAAGGTGGAGGAGGTGGTAAGGAGCAACAAAACATCCGTGACGCCGTTGCGAGTCGAAGAAATAAAGTTTTCTTCCGTAGGGCTGTGTGCGTGCGAGAGAGAGAGGGAGATAGGGCTGAATAAAAGAAAGTAAAAGATAGCTACAGAGAGCATAGAGTGGAGTGTATACTGAAAAGGATGCTGATCCTCTGCTCTCTCGCTTACTCCTGAACCAGGGATGTAAGTCAGAAAGGTTCCTACACACTGCATGGACGTTCATTCAACAAATCACTTTGATCTAGTTTCGTTCGGCTGGTTTACTTTTACTTTTAAGAAAAAAAAAAGAATGAGTCGTTAACGATGTCGATCTCGATTAAAGGTCACTTTTTTCGAATTCCTATATGAATTCTACTGCCATACAAAATTACTGACTTCTGCTTCTTCAATTTTTATGAATTTTCAATAAAGATATATCTATTAGATATCACCGCAATACGATTACCCGTGCTAGTCTGTCGTTGATAAAGAATGAGACCGCGAGAAGGTTTGCACAACGATTAACCATAGGATGTGGGTTAATCGTGGCTGTCTGAAAACCACAGCCACGTCCAAGGACTTCCGAGTAATCCGACCCTGACATCACGTTAGCCACTGACGACAGGATGAGCGCGTTGGATCAGTCAGGAAATCCGTTCGCGGTTCACCCAGTGAACCTAGTTTCGATGTTTGTGTCTAGTACAAAAAAAAACAATACCAACTTGGCAACCCAATTGCACGTGCGTCCAAAAGACAATAAAGAGTCGATTAATCGAAGAAACAAACGATATATAAAAATGAACTTTCTTCAGTACCCAGCAAAGATAATCTAAAGTCTTAAGGCTAATCCACACGCAAGATATACCTGTAAGAAAATATGTCCTGTTCGCTCAGTGATGTCGGCCCTGGACCGCTGGCGCAGGTTAAAATAAATTTAAAAAAAGAAACTACACGACGAAGAAGAAGAAGAAACAGAGAGGTAGGAGGAGAGGGCAGTAAAGAAGAGAAGAAAGAAATAAAGAAAAATGAAGTACAGAACCAAATGGCAAAAGGGACAAAAACCCAACGGCGTCGGTTCTATAGTGCGTCCCCATAGTAATCTACAGTACGTTAAGACGTAGTATGGATGCCGTACGTACGTACGTTCAGGATAGTCTGCGTACTACTAAATCCCGTATAGGTCCCGCTTCACACAGGGCTATATAGTTGCACTATAGTAAACGAGCAAAGCTGATAACCAGTAGAAGTCAAGGTCCCAAGAGCCTGGGTCCCTGATGCCCAGCAACGGCTCGCGTATTTACCAAATATCATTGAATCGCTTTCGCTGCTACTCAACCTGCACACAGAAACCCAAGCACCATACAGTATATCCTTAAACCCATAAATACAATGAAAAACACACTAAAGTAGAGTCAACAGAAAATCTACTTTACCATTCGAGATCTAATTACCTACAGAGTCTCCAAACGACGCTCCGTCAGTATCAAATCATCCGACCACGGGGTCATTGTACTTCTCGATTGTTCCCAGATATATGTTATCGAGTCACAATGACCAAGCTCTTCCGACTCGATAACCATAAGAGCCCGACCCCGTAACAGCCTTTTGGAAACGTCCCTTCCGTCAGTGCAGCCTCCTGCCAAGTTACCGGGCCATCGTGTATTTATCTCTGTTTAACCGTGAAGCGAAGACGACCCTCTTCTGGTAGCCGTACGTGGAGTGCAGTAGCCGCGGCACGTAGAAGCATTCGGAAGAGAGGTGAAAAGGAGCAAGAGAGGATTATAGCAGTGGGACTCTCGAGATAAAGAGACAGCTACATATAAGTGCCGAGGGTGCTGTGATAAAGTCCACGTGATACGTGCCTAGAAAAAAAAATGCATTAAATCAATTTAATGCTAAACCGATGTTCCAGTACCGGAGCAGCTTCCTAACTACGTCACGGCGCGTGACAGTGAACGATCACGTAGCTGATGAAAAACCCGTGGTGTAAACGAGAAACCAGAAAGAAAGTGAAACAAGGAGCAATAGGTATAAAATGAATGGACATTTTTTTTTCCAACAAACTTTTTTCCTATTCTCTTTCCACGACCGTAGGTTACTCCTACTTTACCGACATTCTATCTAATATTTTTCAATGCTACGTACACGTCGTTCACGCAATGATAACGACGTTCCGGATATCGAGAAATCAATTCGCATACTGCACCAAGCTCGTAAAGGTATCCTTGAAAGCACTTTACCCCGGTATCCCCGGCTGTTAGACGCAGAGCATGATTTACACGTCGTAAAGTCCCCGCGCTCTTTCGAGCAGCCATTCGAGTGGGAATGTAAATATATGCATGGTTGCCCGACTACAGGTATGCGTATCTATATATATATTGTATATAAGAGATACGTGGGTGTATTAGCACGGTTAACGTACGAGCAGTGTGCCAGAGAGAATGACGTCACTTACGCACGCCCTTGTAGAAAGGTCACGTGCCATGGCGAGGAGGTAACGTTTACGAAATGCCAATTTCAATATTCAATCGCGAGAAGCTCGAAGTCACGAGAATTGCCGAATGACAAAATTTAATGCTCGTTGCGAGTAATATTTGATACGTGACAAATGTG